TATACAGGTAACATGACGTGTTATATATAATGTAATAGTATACAGTTTTGTTTAATGAATTCCATCTTGATTGGTTTCATGATCAGATGGTAACTCGGCAAAATGAATAGAAAAAGTAAATTTCGGTCGCTTGGATATTCGTTCCTACGCATATTTAACATTACAATTACAACGAAAACGGTATGCATGTCATTGAGCACACATAACATTGTATTGTTTTGTATTTGTTGTTAAAAACATGAATTTTATGACGATCGTATCTGTCAATATTTCAAGCAAATGAAAAGTATAAAATATTCAGAACATCTGTCAGCACAAATCATACTTTAATGCTAATAAATGTATACAGACACAGATAACGAGATGTCGTAACTAACTTCCGATACAATCATATAGCCGGAAGTGATATACATGTCATTGGGAGTTGGGATCAATAGCCCTGTTGCCGTAACCAGTATTTTGATCGGAGAAGGTCCTTCCTGGATGGACTGAAAATAAAATAAATTAATTAATAGGTACTCTTTTGATATTTACCCTAATCCGTTTTGGTTATTGACTCTCAAGTAACTATTTTCGAGTGTGAAAAAACCTAAATCATCATGGCTCATATATAGCATACTTAGTAAAACAATAGGAACTTAAAAACAAAGGAACATACATAACAATCAACCTGACGCTGACGAGGAAAACCTCGTCTGTACGAGTAATACTTTTTCCAAGCATTAACTCAGATTATGTGTCCAGGTCAATGCTGTATAGGTAATACATTTTAGAACCTGCGTTACATGGATTCGACCCAGATTAACCTGATGGATGTCGCCAATGAAGCAGAATATGCTTTATCTTCCGGAATACCTGATTTTCTCCCTTTACTTTTTCATGGTCTCTGCAGCTGTATGTTAATATTGAATTTGTTCATAATTTTCCCTTTTTGTCGATTTTTGATGAAACTTCGGTATTCTGTTGATTCTTTATTGGCAGGAGTTTTGCGTTACAGAATATATAAAGGTACATGTAATTTTAGGGTATGACTGTTTACATCGGGGAATTGTTGATCGGGGATTCTTTCATATGAAAGCTGATCCGTCATGCTAAGCACACAAAGACATGGCATGGCCTTTGCAAGCTTACTTCGAATCGAGATGTGAGGATTAGCGCATTGACACTTATAAGCATTGCTTCATATATCTCACTCTGTGTAAGATATATAGACATTTCTTATGTATAATATGAAATGCATAATACTCGAAATGCTTCGAAAAGCATAGGGAACCTATCATTTAAGTTAATAGCACAGTAACTGACCCTTTGTAATATAGTTTAACCTAACCATCGAGCTCTTTGGTTGTCATAATGCTGCCATTCTAAGTTTAAATATCCCTGTTATCCTCCTAGTCTCTACTTTGATGTATGCAGTCTATATACACATAACCCACGCAGTCAATAGCACAGTCAATGCATTCATAATACAAAGTAACACACGTCTACCTGACACTGTTACTCAAATCCGTCGTCGCCCCATCAGACTACACACTTACAACCCTACCCTCAACACTGTTTTAATGCACCCGATATATCCATACATATATCTATAACAAATATAATGAAAGAACACAATCTGTTAGTGCTATGTGTATGTGGATATGATAGGATTTGAGTAGGAATTCCACACATTCCCTATGGCTACAACTGTCAGCATAAAGTTATCAAGATACGGAATGATGTATGACAAAATGCATTCTAACTTGGCTTACACATCAAAGGAAGTTAACAGAAATTTCTTTAACCAATTTTATAATTTATATAATGATTAACGATTAGCATTGAGCTAGAAACATTGTTTTGGTTGTACCTATAACCCAGGTTCGATTATGTCGCAGTATTAAAGGGGCTGGTCGGGGGGAAAAAATACAAAATAAATGGGTCGAAATGCGTTCTCAGGCCTTCCAAAAGTTATACCACGGCAATATGATAGTCGAGTTCTGCTTGCAATGTCCAATTTTGACCACTGAAATCTTGGGGAAGCCCAGCGTAAATTTAGCGCAGATCTATTTATATATGTCACGTGGTTGTTTTGAAAGTGATTCAGGCAGTGATTATAACAACAAAAGCACGCCGTCTATCAGCCATGTCGGACTCAACTAGCGGACAAGACAGCATTACTATACGTAAATAAATGTTTTCAAAGTTCATGTATGATGCAAGTGTAGTATTCCTACCTATATGTTGTTGTTATATATAACGGAATTGATCCCTCGTGCCAGTCATGACTTTTGCATGCATCTTTTTCTTTCGCCGCGATGGTTACATTTGGCCTTGTTGATGACGCGCGTTCGGTAAAATTACATCACTGATCTGGGTTAATTTAGAGTTTTAGACTGTCAGGTGACGATTTAGGATTTCTTTAATATAATTATATTTTTTACTCTTATGGAGTGAATTTCAGCAAAACTTGAATCGGTATATTTCATAAGAAGGTATTTTAAACATGTGTATGACATTTTAGCAAATATGACATTTTTTCCCCGACCAGCCCCTTTAACATTCTGAAGTTGAACACAGAGGTACGCATTGGCAGCTATAATCAGACATAAGATGATCCTTGTGTTAAACCTAAACTTACAACATTGATCACCCTTTGTTAAGTGAGCATTGTATTACATGTAGCTATTGAAATACCACACACTTACCTGCCCGTCTATTCACTATGCCATTGGCCTCACGTCGGAACACTTTTGTAGCGGCATCACTTGTTGTCACTAAAGAATACATCAAATAAATCAAGTACACCCCTTCAGGCAAACACAGAACAGCACATAGTCGTATACGGTAAATTGGTTTTTGTCAGTTTGTTCAATCTTAATGATCTATACTTGAAACGATCGTCTACATTTGAACTGAATAAAGATATTTTTCACCGTTGAAATGTCATTATTATCGGACAAGACATTTCTTTATTTTGAACAGATGCTGATAATACCTGACAAATACTATCGTCATGTATTTTTGTCATGACGTACCCAAATCAATGATATATGTACAGTAAAAGGCAAAATGAAACCTCGATCGATGCCTCTAGTTTTATGTTTTAACTTGACCACCCTTTGCATATCTTGTTTTGTTTGTAACTTTATTATCCTTTGCGTATTTTTGTATTTCCTTTAAATACCTCCAATATAGGTGTCTCTACATATATTGCCAAAACTTTATAGCGCCAACATTTCCCTTCACTAATGCTGGCAATATAACGGGGTTTCTGTACGTACATTTACCGGTCCTATATAACAAGATCAATATTTGTTTCTCTAGCCGAGTCAGAAGTAAGTCCTAATGTCAGCGTACACAAAGCACTTTTCAGCCAAATATTGATGTATTTCATGCGATAATATCAATTTCATAAATATTTGTTCATTATCTTATGAAGAGATACCATCCAATTTTTATTTCTTGTACAAGATGATATTTCCGCCAGATGGTTCTATAATCTACAATTGTTTCATTATGGTCACTATCCCGTTTGTGGTACACTAACGTTAGTAGTTAGCCAGGTTGATAAACATGTATATGTTAAGTGTTAAACAATAGATTTAGCAAACCATCAGACCTTCTGTTGATTCTGTACTTGCATGTTACCATTTGCTTGCATTTACTGCCTTATCACTTTCCGTGAAACCTCGATAGAATCATATCACTTTTATTGTTACCTCGCTAGTGTTCAAAATATTTGAATATCCAGTTTTGTTTTAAATAAATATTTCTATACTTGTTCTGATTCACTATATCAAGAAGCACCTTTATTATGCCAACAGTTGCTTGGCAACGGATGCCAGTATAACGATGTGTCGAGCACATACACATCTTTCATTTAAATCCGTCAATATAGGGCGAGGAGACGATCGCTAACTATAATGTAAAAAAAAATTACTTTTTCATATACGGACTTATCTTTAAAATGTTTCTTTTAATTTCATGCAATTCTGTGAAGATTTCTTCAGTATTTCAAAATAACCAATACGCTTCAAACTAGTGCTTTTTTGCTAAAATCATAAGAGGTCCATTTAATCACAGTCAATGATTTGCGTTTGTCCAAAAAATCTCGGCCTACATAATTACAATAAGTTTATATAATAATACATTTTTTTTTGTGAATGACCCTAGCGACTAAACAACGACTGGTCTGAGTACATCTTGACTAAATTAGATGAACAGACCACATGGGCTTTGTGAACAATGTTTACTTGCCGAAATATTCACAATTGAAGTTCCATTTTAATCCGCCTTGTTACTTCCAGTCGCCATTTTGTAAACAGGGGCCTAATCTCGAGCTGATGCGCGTTTGAAAGAGTTTGAAGTATTGCAAAGCTTCTAAACGATCATGCCCACAATATACTCTCTAATGATGATGTTTTTGATAAATTTACTATCAATTATTTACTATATTTCTTTTTTGTATCACTTTCATTAATTTATAAAAGAACAAATTGATTTTTTCCCCTTCAAACTTTTTTCTTTCATATGTTAAAACACATGTTTTTTGNAGATTTTGAACGTGACCCGGAAATACCTCACAACATAATCAGGACAGTAATAATAAACAGACGTTTATCGAACATTAACAGATTAATAATGTATGCATTGAGACACTGATGTGCTAGAATACAACACAAGGTAACACTCGTTTAATCCATTGCTATCACATCAAGTACTAACTGACATGTATGCGAAAAAAATATCAGCATTAAATGTTTGCGATCGCGCAGACCTACTTTCTTTTTACAGTTTACATACATTTGTACATGTCGGCATCAACAGTATACCTTAACTTGTGGGCGCATTCTAGGAAAAGTTCGTGATTAAAAGCTTGTGTGTGTTGTTTTTTATCTTAAAATTATTGGATAAAAGCATAGAATCATTATTTTACGTTGAATATGTCATTTAACTTTTAACTTTTTAAATTGTCACCTACAAATATGCGCATACCATAAAGTATTGATGACAACAAGATATAGGACAGTCTCACAAGTCGAAGACTTACAACGACTTGACGAACAGTGCGAACAGTGCGAACAAACATAGGTACATACTTAAGCTCTCAGGGGCTTGAATTTCGACAAACATATATATATAAATGGTAAAACATTGTAACAGTGTAAGGCAAACAACAAATTTTATCACAAGATACCTACGTTGGAAGGATTAAGATAAAGAGGCTAAATAATCATGCTGTACAAAATTTGGCACTTAAACAACTTACTTAAAAACCAGTCCAGAGGGCAGGTGATTGGGACATAGCATTTATTTGTAACCAGGAGCACGGGTTTGGTAGCCGTTAATATTAAAAGACGTTTTTAGTATTGATGCTGCTCGTGACGCCAGTGATGTATTTTTTGCTTACAAGTTAAAGCGTCGTTATCCAAAAAGAAGATTAATACAAATTGAAAAGTGTGAATTGCCTACAGCTCCTGTCAAAAGTCAAAAACATTCCTCTCATGTTCTTTCTCCTCACCTGGACGTTTGTAAGTTAGAACAGCTGATCTCGCAGACGCTTAAACTATGTACAAAATATATATACAGTTATACCACAGTATTGTAATTGTCTCGGTATGGCTACGAATGCATTCCAGGTCAGGTAATAGAGTATCAAATGTATTAAATTCAAATAAAGCACCACTTCACGACAATCATGGATTCATATGGGTACAATGTTATTAAAATAACATTCATACAGTGCATGCAAGCTGAAATTAACAAATCATTTGTTTGAAATAACAAGTCATCATTTCCATGAAATTATCCAAATAAATAAGATCTTTATGTCAAAATAAACTTCAGGTTTGATTGTTTAATGTACGTCCTATCAACAGCTATACATTGTCATTTAAGGACGGCCTCCCCCATTTGCTAGATGCATGCGTGTGGTGAGTTTGTGCATAATTAATTTGTGTTTTGGGAGTCTGTGGTATGTTCATGTTTGTCTCCTTGTGATAGCGCAGGACTGATGCTGACTTTATAGTTTAATTTTACTGGAGCATACTGCTGAAGACACATCTTGTTTTATGATCGAACCTCGTTATCTCACCATCTTCCATAGCCAAGGGTTCATAATTTAAATTTGTACTGTTCAACCTTGGCAGATTTAGCCTTGTGTTTAGTTTCCCTCCCCTGCCACCTAGCAGAGACACTTTACTAGCAAAACTTTAAACTTTCAAGGTTATTTCAGCACTGGTCGCCTATGTGTTTTCCTTAGTTATCATTTACAGTTAGAATATGGCCAATTATCTCTACCAACTGATCATATACAGAAAATGTTTCTATACGTATTGTCCTCCTTTGTTGTTTTACATAAATCATGACATAGTCGACAAGGCAACTTGTTACTGGGGGCCGCCATTATTATTTACATGCACAGGGACTTGGTATTAATTTCTAACCCTCAGTTCGCATATGTGTATTATATAATGTATGATATAAAAAAAAAATATGTGGACCATAGGATGGTAATTCGTGCCAAGTCCCTGTGCCAGGTTCAATAATTTGAAAGCTTAGAGAACAAGGCTAAATCCGCTAAGGTTGAATACATGAATATGTGAATACAAAATGAACGCTTGGCTAGCAAAGATGAGATGTTACAGGCTGGACAGATAATGACAACAAAAACAGGCTGAAAACATGTATGGAATGTGTTTTTCTTAAGGGAGGCTGTATAAACACATTATGAATATGTAAAATCATGATGGAAGTCCATTTTACCCGAATTACCTGACGTTATTTTCAATACCTTCAGTTCATCTATATTTCCACACTGTTCTCTGTATAAGGGATAGGAATCAGTTTGTTTTTTGGGTTTTATAAATCCTTGCAACCACTTTTAAGTCATATGTATAAGAAAGGTCTGCCAAATATCTGATTCTTTGACAACTTTACTACAAATATATAGCAGGAATTGAACTTTCTATATCAACTGCACTACACTTCATATTATTTGTTGACATTTTTCTGCTACAATATATGGAGTTTCCTCACAAGATGCTGATAACCGAAAAGAGTCTGAAACCTTAATCATATCTTTTAGAATACTGTGTTTAAAAAAAATGTTATACATGTATCTCTTCGATCCACTAAACATCAACAAACAACATTTAAACTCTTCATTCCCTAAACCTGTTATTAAAAGGATCGTAAACAAAAATAGGTCTGTTCGCTTAAATGTTAAAAAATATTTCTGTTCAACATTCATATTTACAGTGGTGTTCAAATCCACTAATACATAAGTTGACATAAAATTGTACTGCAGTATTTTTTGGCCTGACTTTTGACAATAAGTCTCATCAATGGTCATTGACTTTAGGTTGTCAGAAGTTGAAGAAGCCAAACTTATTTGACTTTGGTGTAGAAGCATCCTAAAAGTAGAGGAAATTAAGGGCTGGATTTTCACGAACTCGAAGAGTTGTGCCCCTTTGTTTGCTTTCCTATACATCTTATTTTGGCAGTTTATCATTCATATTTTTATTTTTCCATTTCTTATGCACTTCATATACATGCATCTGATGAGAATGGGAGATAGTGTGGGGAGGATTTTTTTGTGCATCTCCACTGTTATATCAATCAATAAATTTTCATTTAGATGGTGTCCCTGAGAATTATTTCTTATATAATTTAAAATTTGTTTCAAGTAATACTCATACTCTCTGTTTTAAACTAGGAGCACTTGCTATGTACTAGGTGCAGTTATGATTGATTGTCTTCCTTTGAGAATTGGTGAATTTGCGAAATTTGCTGATTGTTTTGCAATGTACCAATATTTTTATGTTTATAACATGTATAGGGTGCTCCCATCGCTACCACTTTCTTCTTGAATTTGCATTGGTGTACAGATAGATCTTGAATTGACAGATCTGTCAGATCAGCACAAATTACTTAAATTGGAGTCTACATAAAGAGTTATGTCCCTTCACTTTCTTTTTCAAGATTACACGATTCAAACAATTTTCTACTTGAGTCATCGAATCTGTTAAAATTTGTCAAAGCAAAATTTACATACAATTTACATGGGGGGGGGGGGGGG